TTATTCCCATTTAAGGGAAACAAAAAACCATCTGGACGACATTAGGCCTTTCAATTCTGCATTTTTTTCAGGTAAATATAATTTACGATATAACAGTAACTAGCCAAATGAATGCCAATTCATGCAAATAAAATTGCGACAGAGAGGTTAAGCAGAAAATCAGGTAGTAGGGTAGTTCTTAGTCATGTAAACAAAATATTATCGCTATAAAGAATTGACTGAAATTTGTAAACGTACTGGCGACAATGGGTGGTACCATGCAGCCATACATTATCATTGACGATGATCAACACGGACAACCTATTACGGCTATAGTGGGAAACATAAAAAACCAGATCAGCTTTTGAAAAATGATAAAATATTTACAAGAAATGTTGTTTATATGGAACTGTTAGGTACGTAATCTATGAGTTGAGTCTTTTAAACTCATGGGAAATTATGATGACTTTTATTTGTTTTTAAATAACTACTTTACTTCTTTGCAATTGCTCGATTTCGAGCGACGTGTTTACTAGTTTAAACAAATTTGCATATGGGTCATATATGGGTTGCCATGCTGGTGACGAAATGACAACGAAACATAAACAGAAAATCAAAACAAATGGAAGAAATTCCAATAATGTTTTATTTACAGTGCGGGGTGGAAATAGAGAACTCTGTACCTTATAGCAGATTATTTTGGTCGAGTTTTTGGCCACTGGATGACCTCTCTCGTATATGGTATACATAATAAATGGTAGATACTTTTAAAGTTGAATTAACGTAATCCCATCGACTATTTAACACTTTAGTTTTACTCAAATTTTATTACTGTATTACGCGTTTTTCACAAAGGCCATTCAACTTACAGTTTTTGGACCAGAATAAAAATTAGAAAGAATCTCTCTGTGTACGCACGCCTCTAATTTGGAGTCTGTGACTTATCCAAAATTTCTTGAAGGCCTTATTCAACCAAAAGTACTAGTGACCATTATGAGGACAATTTTCGGGTAGCCATAGTAAGAACTAATAATATACTAATTTTAATATTAGTTCATCTATGGCTACCTATAGTTCACTAACGCAGATTTTCCAGACTTGTTAATGGACTTTGTGTATTCGGCGATAAGCAATTTATGTTTTACGTATTATTTCGTGCAATGTATAATCAACCTGATAATGTTTGTTATTTAATAAATAAATCAGTTTTACCGCGTTAGAACATTTTAATACTCTACTGAAAGATTAAAAAGACTTGGACTTGGATGTAGTTTTTATTCTCACTAGTCCCGTCTCCAGTCAAGTTAAGACGTCGTCACATATACAATACATGCTCATATCCTGCGTACAGGATTTAATCCTGCGTAGCCCATTTCATAATAAACTACAAATTACAAGTTACAACAACTTGTAATTTCCATTAGATTTGCATTGTCGATCAGCTGATTTACTAATAATATTATGTACTTCATTATCAAATGGGCCCCAGTTAGTATATGTTTTCTGTGGTACAGTCGGGAAACGGTCCTTATCATACGAACTGCGCCTCGCAGTTAAAGTTGGTTAAAACGCACCCTCGAAAGGGGGGGGGGGTCAACGTCCTAAGGTTGTTTAGGCCTAAATTAATATTTCGGTTGAAAACCAATAATTAATTACGTTATTAATATTATGTCTCTGTCTGAAGTAAAGTAAACTATCAAATAATTTTTGATTTGTTATTTATACATATTTGAAATGATTATTACAGTACAAGTATTATTTTAATAACGTGCCAAAGTTCCACATTGACCTACCTAGACAATTTGAATCATAAAAGTACAGTACTAGGTTGACCGCAACTGTAGCCGTTGGGAGGCTCACGTCGTTGGAGGAGCCTTCATGATATCAATGGCATTTCCGGCATTTCCGCTCGGGCATTGTATACTGCTGGAGAGATAGACAGCAATTGAGATAAGACTTGTTTGAGTTGTTTCGGCTTCTTTAATGTATGAAATGTAAAAATACACAAATTTTCAATTACCTTCACCTATTGAACTAATGTATTATTATCAATTGCATGCACCCAACGTTTTTCGTTTCAAATCTTATGTATTTATACCCTCCACATATTTATAATTTATTTTCCAGTTTTTAATGTGTTTGGATGTTAAATCTATTTCAAGCGTCTATATCAGATTAAGACAGAGGCATGTAGGAAATCTAAGGTTTATTTGAGTTTCTTTTCATATAATTATGTATTAGATTGAATGTATGGCCTACCTACTAACTATAAATATACCAATCTACTAGCAGAGTACCCGTCCTTCTTATGGGGTTGGCATATAAGTATAAAATGCTTATTGTAGTTATACCATGGATAAAAGGAGTATAGACATATATACTCAAGAGTTATACTCAAGCTTTGTGTATGCAATGGGGAAGGACACAGTTTGATAAAATTTGCTTCTTTAAATTTACAGTTTACATAAACATAGCAATTATGTTCTACCACTTCACCTAAACAATAGAGAAAAAAATTATAAAAATTCACAAAATATCACAAATTATTCATGAAATTAGAAACGTAAAGATAACACAATCCTACTTTGAAATTTCTCATTGCGTATCACAGTTTTTTTTGCTGCTTAGTTCAAATTAGCTGTTTTCATAAATGCAAAATAAACGGTATCGGCAATCTGACACATACTTTCTCCCATTAGCTTGAAGCTAGAGTTTAAAAGACCCGACTAAATGCTAACTAATTGAAATACTCACGCTATTTAATACTGCTTTGAAATTATAAATAAACGTTTCTTGTAAAAATATTTTAGCATTTTTAGGACCCGGCCTTATTTTTTAGTGTTTTCTACAAATGTTTCCCGACTTAAAGCTGATACCAGTAAACATTTCTTGCATGTATTTCTTTGATCTGACTTTAGGTAGGTTTACTTTACCACTGTGACAACACGATGTGTATATTCTTCATGGTTTTTTTATTTACTTCCAAAACAAGTTGCTTAGCATAACTGGCAAAAATGATTCATCTCCCCAAGTGATTGTGTACCTGGATTCCTTACTGTGAGACCAGGTCTCTCCTCTACTCTTCTCATAAGTATAAGATTTCCTATTAATTGTCTCCTCCTCCTGTCTTCAATATTTCTCCTTTAAATTCAAGACATTTTCTGTTCTTCCAACAAAACTGATTAACTGTTTGGATTTGTTTATAACCTCATACATATTACAAACATAAATACTTACTCCAAAAAAGTTGGTGAGTTTATTTTTATGTACAGCTGTTTTTGTTTTTAAATTTGTGGTACTTTCCTGTTAAAGGGAACATTCATTATGAATGATGATTTTTTTCGATATATCGATATTAACAAATTGAAACATATCAGCTGACAACTACGATAAATATTGTTCAGTATATGAAACTGTTCTAAAAAAATAACCTAACATAACTAACCAAACTTGCTGTAACATTTAAAAGTTCCGTGTTTAACTTGCCTTTTTTATTATCAAACCCAAACGGAATTTTTAAATGGTACAGCAAGTTTGGTTGGTTATGTTAAGTTAGCTTAGAACAGTTTCATTTTTTAATCCATATATTAGACTATTTTAGCCTAAACAAGATCAGTTAGTTATTGTTGTCAATTTATAATGGATCGGATCGGAAAACAAAAATATCGATATATCGAAACAAAATCATCGATAATAATGAATGTTCCCTTTAACAGGAAAGTACCAAATTTGTTTTCAATGTAATTCTTATGGGGGAAATGCGACCTTTGAGAGCGTCTCGTGCCCTTAAGAGCAATGGCAGAATGCCTAACAGAAAAATCAAAGAAACCTTTTTGTGCGACGTTAAGGGCCAGCAGCATGTGTCTAAGGAGGACAAGGAAGAAGTGGAGGACTCTTAGAGAGTTTGAAGATGGGACTGGAGTACCAGTTATTTATTTATTTAAATAGCAAATGTTTTATTATTTTTCCATATCAAAATTGTGAATTATATTATTTAGTATAAAAAAAAATTTACAGATGACTTAAATTAATTGATATATTTACATTCTTTCAAAATGTAAACATGGAAAATTTGGAAGGCCATGGGGCGTAGCCAAGGGAAATGTGAAAATTAAATGATATAATATTGCATTGCCATCCATTTGGGAGCTATGTTTCAAGTTTCAAGTCTCTAGCTCATCGGGAACTTTGTTTAAAATTGATATCAAAATTTGTAGGAAAGCGACTAGCGAGCTAATAAAAACAAGCCCATGGGGCATAGCACAAGGGAAATATGAAAATTAAATGATATAATATTGCATTGTCATCCATTTGTGAGCTATGTTTCAAGTTTCAAGTCTCTAGCTCATCGGGAACTTAGTATAAAATTGATTGCAAAATTTGTACCAGACAAGAAATAAGCGAGCTAATAAAAAACGTTTTAATATATAATTCTGAGCAATTTGCAGACAAAACTCTAATTTTATTTATGAAGATTTATTGTTTGTTTGTTTACTCTATTACTGAATTATTAATTATAATTATGAATCTTTGATTCTCAATTCTCATTACTGTATAGATGATGTTTGCATTACCACAAAGTTATTGGTTTTTGTTCTGTCATACTGTTCAATGCAAACACAACGTTGCCTGCATATTCCAACCATGGTAAGTATTATACCCGTACTCAATAAAGAATAAAACTATGCTTAAGGCCGACACGCACTATTGAATAATTACTATTATGCAACACGTACTAATTACGACAGGCGGAAATGACATGTGATCATACCTGCGTTCTCTAGTCGACTGTCCGTCCTTTCGTCTCCAGAGTGGGGATGGGGGTTGAAGGTTCAAAGTCCAGACTTGGCTATTATTGTAGGCTATTGTATAAATGAACTAAAATATCTTCTGTTATACTTCAAACTAAATAATCACTTTACTACAACTCCTCCCAACCAAACTAAAAACTTATCTTCCAAAAATAAAAACTAATCTTCAAAAAAAACTATATACAACTGCTGGGAGGGCCTTCTTCCAAATTATAAATTCATTTTGTGAGGTACTCTACGATTCCGTTCGGAGCGTCGCAGAGTAACTGGACTGTCTTGACTTAGTTGGGTTTTTGCTGGAGACCTTCTGGTTGGCGAAGTTATTGGAGATTTAACCTCAGTTGGTGCTCCTTCGGGTGTCTTAATCAGTGGCGCGGTCTGAGCCGGACTTTTCATGTATAGTTCCCTTGGAAATTGTACTAGTGGGTCGTCTTCTTGTTCCTGAGTTTCATTAGCTCTCAAATGATCAATATGTACATGTCTTGTTCGGCCATCAACTATGACTAGGTATGTCATAGGGCTTACAATTTTTGTTACTACCCCAGGTTGCCAACTAATTTTCTCTTGTCGCACAGTTTTGACAAACACCTTGTCATGTAACATGAATGATCTCGGTTTTCCCCGGTGTACATTGATAGAATCTTTCAGATTATCCTGTTTAGTTTGCATTTCTTGAGCCAAATGAGGTTTTAGAAGTGATAGGTGAGTTTTAGGTTTGAATTTCAAGAATAATTCAGATGGTGTCGATCCAGTTGTAGTATGGGGGGTATTACGGTACACAAACAAGAAGGAATCTATCCTGTGTTGCAGGGACCTCTGTGTATGTTGTTGTTCATCGTGGAGCATTTGTTTTAAGAAAGCGTGTTTCACTGTTTGGACAGTTCGCTCTGCCAGCCCGTTGGAAGCAGGATGATATGCCGGGGTTAGGGTATGATGAACTCCATTAGCCTCTAAAAATTGTTTGAATTCGTCTGATCGAAATTGGGGCCCGCCATCTGTCACCACAGTAGAGGCCAATCCATAGGCTGCAAAGCAATGTCTTAGTTTGTCAATTGTCTGTTTTGACGTCGTACCGGGCATATGGAACACTTCTACCCACTTTGAGTAGCTATCTACAATTATTAAAAATTCTTTCCCTTCAAAGTTAGCGAAGTCCAGATGAATTCTCATCCAGCTGTGTTGAGGCCATGACCAAGTTTGTAGGGGAGGCAGGGGAATATTTTTACGAGTCTTTTGACAGATATTACACTCTCTAACCATAGTCTCGATGTCTTGATCTAAGTTAGGCCACCACACATAGCTTCTTGCGAGGGCTTTCATTTTTGACTCACCAGGATGGTCAGTATGTAACATAAGAAGAATTTCCTTTCGATGGGTCGGGGGTATAAGGACTCTGGCTCCCCAAAGTAGACATCCGCGATCTACGGATAACTCCGAAGTTTTGTTTTGGTAGTTTTTTAGGCCTGGGTCGTCAATTGTATTTGGCCATCCATGTATCGTGTAGTCCATTACCTTAGATAAGGTAGGGTCAAATTTGGTGGATGCAGCTATTTCTTTAGATGTGATGGGCAAATGGTAGGTTGAAGTAAAAAACGATATGTCGTCTTCATTAACGTTATTTTCAAGAGGTAGGCGCGACAGCGCATCTGCATTAGAAATGTCTGTTCCCTTTTTGTAACGGATATCGTATTGGTATGCTGACAATATCAAGGCCCAGCGTTGGATTCTTGCTGCCGCTAGAGTGGGTACACCTTTGGTAGGATGTAACAAAAATGTTAAGGGGCGATGGTCAGTCACTAAAATAAATTTGCGACCATATAGGAATTTATGAAACTTTTTGACGGCCACGACCAATGACAGGGCCTCCTTTTCGATTTGGCTGTATTTAGCCTCGCTTTTGGTAAGTGTTCGTGAGGCAAATGCAATAGGCCTCTCTGAACCGTCTGCCATTTTATGGGCGATCACACACCCAACTCCATAGCTTGAGCTATCACAGGTTACTATCACATCTAGGCTTGGGTTAAAGGGAATCAAAACATTGTCCATAACAAGTTGTTTCTTGCATTGTTCAAAGGCGATGTTACAATCAGTAGTCCACGACCAATCAACCTCCTTACCAAGCAGATGGTACAATGGATGGAGCAGGGAGGCTAAGTTTGGAATAAATTTACCATAAAAATTAACTAGACCTAAAAATGACCTGAGTTGTACAACATTTTCTGGTTTTGGAGCATCCAAAATCGCTTTTGTCAACTCCCCACTTTGATGAATACCGTTCTTATCCAACCGATATCCTAGAAAAACTAAGCTTTCTTTAAAGAATTCGCTCTTAGACGTGTTGATGGTGATTCCATGTTCCATTAACCTTTTTAAAACAGCATTAACTGACTGTTTCATTTCCGTAAAATCTTTAGCATAAACCAAGATGTCATCTATGTAACAAATAGTAGAGTCTAGACCAGACAGTATCTGATCCATGGTTGCTTGGAAGAGTGCACCAGCACTAGTAATGCCATAGGCTAGTCTTGCATATCGGAAAAGACCTAAATGTGTGTTAATCGTTAACAATTCTTGTGAGGAAGGATGTACCCTTAATTGGGCATAAGCAGTTGATAAGTCTATTTTTGAGTAAAACTTTGCACCTGAAATTTTTGTGAGGATGTCCTCTGGATTGGGTAAAGGATAATAATCTGTTCGCAGGCACGGATTAATCGTTACCTTGAAATCACCACAGATTCTCACTTCATTATTGGGTTTGGGAACAACAACTATAGGCGTTGCCCATTCGGATTTAGTTACAGGATAAATAATCCCATTTCTTTGAAGGTTATCGAGTTCTTTTTCTACAGCTTGGCGCAAAGCAAACGGCACACTACGGGCCTTACAGAAAACTGGCTTAGAATTTTCTTTTAAAACAATATTCACAGCTTTACTTTTAATTTCCCCAGGTGTCTTATCAAATACAGGTGCATAAGCTCCCTTAAGATCATCCATAATCTTAGCAATATCTGGAACGGACTCACCAGCTGGGATCCGAACGTCTATTTCTCCAACTTCATCTGTCTTGTCGCTACACCTCCGTTTCAGTAGTTTCCAGTCTAGGGGTATCTTCTCCAACCAGTTGCGTCCTAATAGAGTAGGTTGACCAGTTCCGGAACTCTCAATCACAACTACAGGAAGTTGCGTCAAACCATCGGGCGAGTTTACTGTAGCATGGAACTCTCCGAGAACCCCAATTCTCTCTCCTGTGTATGTTTTTAACCTTATGTTACTTGGCTGCAACAAATTGGAACGATTATGAAACTTTTCAAAATATGTCTTATCCGGCATAATTGTCACCGCAGCTCCAGTGTCAATGGTCATATCTAAAGGCACTTCATTTACTAGCATCTTCACAATAAAATTATTAGGCTTAGAATTATTACTAGCATAGGCTACAGTAAAAAGTTCAAACTCCTCTTGCATGCTCGTGTGGGACTTGGAACTAGGCCTATCTCCACCCCTATCATCATCGTGTCCACTAACATCATTATCAGAGTCATCCGACTCGCACAAGAATATTTTATTTGTAGGCCTAAGCCTAGAGTTACCAGACCTACATGCACTTGCAATATGTCCCTTTTTGTTACACGAGTAACATGTGTAATTTTGATAAGGACACTCGGTACTGTCATGATACTTCCCACATTTGTAACATCTCTGCTTATTTACAAAAGGACTATTCTGCTTCCCTGCAGATCCACTTGACCATTTGGGCTCATGCCCCTTTGGCTTATACTGACCTTGGCCTAACTGATACCTAGGCCTATTAGACCCTACAAAGTTTAATTCACCTGAGGATATTTTATCACAATTAAATGATTTTACATTCTTATCAGCGTTTTCAATTACTAATGACAACTCCAATGCCTTGGAAAAAGTCAATGTGTCACCCTCGGCCAACAATTTACCTTGTATTGTGGCTGAGCGCAGCCCACACAAGAACCTATCTCTCAATGCTTCCTCTAGGAAGTTACCAAAATGACAACTAGATGCCAATTTCTTCAATTGACAAGAATATTCAGTTATGCTTTCACCTTCTTTTTGTGAACGTTTGTTAAAGACAAACCTTTCATACGCAATATTACTCTTAGGGACAAAATGCGTCTTTAATGTGTCAATGATAACATTATAACTACTATCTGAAATCTTCTTGGGATGTAACAAATCCTTAAGAGTTGAGTACAAATTTGGTCCCATAATGGAAACAAAAAATGAAACTTTGTTCTCATCTTTAATTGCGTTAATTGAGAAAAAATGTTGTAACCTCTCTGCATAATTTTCAAAGTTCTCTACTTCACTATCAAACTCACTTACTTTTCCAATCATCTGTTTGGCCATACTTAGGCCTACTAATTAACATAAAATACCTTACATTTGAAGACATATAATTATCAAAATTATAGTTCCGTATCAAACAACTCCGTTTCTTGGTTCTTGAAAATTTTCCAACCCTTTCAAGCTTTCAAGTTTCCACACGGCACTGTTCGTTCAAATCCACGGTTAGAAGACAATGTGCTTGTTGCACACGGCACACTGGAAACTGGGCAAACCTGTTGCACACGGCACGGACGCACGATGAGACACAATTTTTCCAAAATCCTCCAAAGTTTCAATCAACTGTTCCACTTATAACGTTTTATTAATTTCGCGTGAATGCGACCGTCCTCGTCGCCAATATTATACCCGTACTCAATAAAGAATAAAACTATGCTTAAGGCCGACACGCACTATTGAATAATTACTATTATGCAACACGTACTAATTACGACAGGCGGAAATGACATGTGATCATACCTGCGTTCTCTAGTCGACTGTCCGTCCTTTCGTCTCCAGAGTGGGGATGGGGGTTGAAGGTTCAAAGTCCAGACTTGGCTATTATTGTAGGCTATTGTATAAATGAACTAAAATATCTTCTGTTATACTTCAAACTAAATAATCACTTTACTACAGTAAGTGTGTGTAACTTATTCAGTTATGGGCTAGTTTGACTAGCCAGAAAACCGGGCTGACACTAACAATGACAGTTTTTTACTTTCCTAACCCTATTTTCACAAGGTCAGTTTGTGTGGTATATTTTCCAGGGCGGCTATTTCAGTGACATCCATATCCATGTTAATCAGACACAATAACAAACACTGAAAATCTTCAAAAATATTGATCAAAATGGTTCCTTGTGCTGGAAATATGTAAACACCTTACCTACTCTATGTTAAAAAAATCTAAAATCGTATAACTCATTGAGCGAAGCTCTTATACGTCGACTCTTATGCATTTCGTAATACGCAATCTCCTCCAAGACGGCTGAAGTAATCATTTTCAAATTTTGCATGGTGATAAAGACCATATATCGGTGAGTGCTAACAACTATATGGTGTTAAAAAAACTCTCTAAGGAATCCCCCCCACTGGCTCTAAAAATGTTTATGTAATCTTTATGGACGCAGTATTTGACACAAAAACAAAGACACAAGATCAGCTGTTGACGTATTAAAGGACTTAACTGAAACGGCTACTTTAAAAAAGGTCGTAGGTAAAAGGAATTACTGTAACTGTTATCACCGATATTAGAACAGAAACGGTATGGTTCATAAACATAAAAAATGACGTCACTAGCTTTTTATTATAAAAATAGTTGTTTTATTACAAATCCAGTTATTTTATTATAATAAACCTTTTAATTGGAAGTCAACTATACTTTTTATACTAAATAAATTGTTTTTAATTTAATTCCCTCATCAGTAGATTGAAATATATAAAAATAGTCACACAATGTCCACAAAATGTCAATATCAAGCAGCTGATTCGAATCCTACGTGGTGTTTTCTAGTTATGTTTAATTTGTTTACTCGTATTATGGATACTAGTACCTGGGGACCGAGCTTTGCTCGGGAAAAGTCATTAGTTCACTCTGAAAGCAGTCTTAGTATTGGAGATACATAAATCTATTCCCAAACTCCACACGGCTCGCCTTTACTACGTCCTACACCATTTCCTACGTCTTGGACCTGTTTTCCTCCCTTCCCATAGCATTTTAAGATTGCAGATACCTCAATCTAATCCTCATAGACAGTTCCCACACTCCGGACTACTTGCCTTGACTACTTCCTTCACCACTTCATACGTCACGGACATGTTTCCCTCCATTCCCATAGCATTTTAGGATTGCCCATACCCTTATCTAATCGTCATAAACAGTTCCCACACTCCGGACTGCTCGCCTTTTGACTACTTCATTCATCACTTCCTAAGTCACAGACCTGTTTCCCTCTATTCCCATAGCATTTATGATTGCCTTTACTACTTCCTTCACCACTTCCTATGTCGCGGATCTGTTTCCTTCCCTTCCTATAGCATTTTAAGAATTGCAGATACCTTAAGCTAATCATCATAAACAGTTCCCACACTCCGGACAGCTCGCCTTGACTACTTCCTTCACCACTTCCTACGTCACGGACCTGTTTCCCTCCCTTCCCATAGCATTTTAGGATTGCAAATACCTCAATCTAATCGTCATAAACAGTTCCCACACTCCCGACTGCTCGCCTTGACTACTACCTTCACCACTTCCTACGTCGCGGACCTGTTTCCCTCCCTTCCCATATCATTAACTACTTCCTCACCACTTCCTACGTCGCGGGCCTTTTTCCTTCCCTTCCTATAGCATTTTAAGAATTGCAGATACTTTGATCTAATCGTCATAAACAGATCCCAGACTTCGCACTGCTACCCTTGACTACAATGTATCGAGTAATCTTCAGTATAATCTTTTTGCTAGATATTAACATGTGATGTTTTACCTTTTGTACTGTATTTGTAATTTGTTGTATACTGTGGGTAGTTGGCTTATTATGAACACATGCTACAATTTCAAGTATGTTGTTTACTTTTTACTTGTTATTTAATTCAGCCAACATGGTTACCTAGCAACCCATAAGACTAAAAAAAATTGATTTTCAGTTGCATTTTTCTACGTAATTAAATTTTTTTTGGCAGTTCTAACTGCAGTAAACTCGTTTTTATGCCAGAAATAAACTATTTACAACATTTGAAGAAAATCGTCGGAGCCGTTTTCGAGATCTTGGTGCAAGCATACACACATACATACATACAAGCAAACCTTGCTCGTATTAGAGTATAGGATAATAAAAAGTGTTCCAATAGTTACATGAATAACAAAACCCGGTTCTTATAAAAAAAAGTTGACCCATAAATTGAACTAGGTATATGTTGCTCGAAATCGAGCAATCGCAAAGAAGTACATAAAGGAGTTATTTAAAAACAAATAACTTGTTTAAGAACAAATATAATATAAGTTATAAATTCCGATGAGTTTAAAAGAGTCAACCCAAAGATTACGTAACTAATAATAATACTCACAATGTACTTACCAGTTCAACATAATCAACATTTCTTGTAAATATTTTATCATGTTTCAAAAGCTGATCTGGCTTTTAGCATGGTGGAAGGAAAAAACATAGGTGTGCTATTCCCGTCATATTCTGACGTCACTTGGATTGCAAACAAAAGATCACCTGATTATAACTGTCAAATTAGTATATGTATTTGTTTTGATTTGGTTGTTATTGTTTTTATAATGTGTGTTTTTATAAAAAAAAAACATTAACAATCAAATCAAAACAAATACATACTAATTTGACAGTTACAATCAGGTGATCTTTTGTTTGCAATACAAGGACGGGAATAGCACACCTATGTTTTTTCCTTCCACCATGGGCTTTTAGTGTGTTGTAGAAATGTTTCCCACTTATAGTCGCAATAGGTTCTCCATGTTGGTCTTTGTCAATGATAATGTAGTTTGCGTGGTATCACCCATTGTCGCCAGTACGTTTACAAATTTCAGTCTTTATTTTAATAGCACCAAATAACCATTAACTACCTGATTTTCTGCATAACCTCTCTGTCACAATTTTACAATTAACATATGTTCTTCTTCTCACTTTAAATTTCTGACAACAGCTGGAGTTTCATAACAATGTTTGTTTCCCATGTTAATCTTATGGAGAAATACAAAACTTTAAAGGGCCCCAGGACCTCACTCTCTGATTATTTCCCTAAAAAGAAAGTTTCTTGCACAACTTCACGTTATGCTCTTTCCAATGACACCAAAAACATGTCAATCGGTTCAGTAATTTCAAAAGTAATTGTCACAAAAAACCTGCTTGCGTATTTAATAAGTATAGATTTAACCCTTAGAGTGCCAGGCGAGAAATAAAAGTAACGCTAAAAAAATGCCGATGATTATTCCCGAAGGTCGCGCTTAAAATGCCGAGCGCGATCTGGCGATTTTTAGGTTAAAATTTCGTAAAAATCGAATTTTCGATATTTCGACCAACGAAAATCGATGTATCGCATCTATTAACTTTCGACTCAATGTTAATATATGGGTTAAAAGAATCCGAGTATCCATTCGGTTGTTATGACAACTGTTCGTCATTACGAAACGTCCGGTCAGCCGGACGTTGGCACTTTTGGCTCGTTCTAAAAACGTCCGGTCGGCCGGACGTCGGCACTTTTGGCTCGTTTTAAAAACGTCCGGTTCCCTGGACGTTGGCACTCAAAGGGTTAAAAAAATTAGGTACATCAATCTCCTTAAAACCAAATCACAAATCCTTCAATCACTCAAAAACACAAACATTAGCTGTTATAAACTCTAGAATATTGTTATGCCTTTTTAATAGTGTGTCATCAAAATATATAAAAAACAACATTTCATTTCATATAATTTTATTCATTTCAGTACATCAATACAGGAATAGCGATCTATACTATATAAAGTTGGAAATGATTAATTTACCAAGTATCGAAATATAAGAAGGTTTCTACTGACTTATACAATCCCCGCCCATAGAACAGGCACCCTGCTAGTTAAATATCAAGATATCTCTTGTTACCCAAGACAAGGTAAGTTAGTAAAAATAATCATTTTAACAAACATAATAAACAGTATTTTTTTTACCAGGCAGAAGTACAAACAAATATTAAAAATGTAAGAAAAAATCTTCATAAAAACAATAAAATTATCTTAATTTAATAATCTAAATGAGAAAAAAATGTAAATACTGATGTTCAAAATAAATGTTAAACTAATCAACATAATGGATCCAAACTGATTTGTCTCCACTTCTTCAGCCTCCTCTCCCCCAACCTCCATGCCTCCATCGCCATCCACCCTGTCATCAGGCCTGGATAGTGGATATAACAGAACAAAAATTAATAATTAAAACAGTATTCTGAACAAAGAGTCTTTTTATGCATACTTCTATCATTATTTAATGTAGGCTACTCAGTGGCGTACTGAGGGGGGGGGGGGAGGGCGGTTTGCACCAGGCCCCACACCAACATAGGCCTCCAAATCAGGGCCGTATTCCCCTAACAGTGGACACTGCGATTGCCAAGGGCTTCGGCCTGGGAAGGGGACTCACTTGGGGCCTCAAAAGAATGCTTTTTCTCTTGGAAAATAAATTTTCCCACAATCTGTTAGAATTAGGGGGTACAATAATCCAAGTTTGTCTTGTATTCTCATGATAGCCGAAAGCGTCTGCAAAGATTGCGTGATCGAAATTTACGACTACCAGCGATCGCGGGTGACGATAATCAGGCCTCGCAACCGCGAAAGATGTTCACGATTGCACCGAGGATGCCCACAATTTTAACCATTGGCGACCTTGGGAGATGAAGATGATGACCCTGCAATCACGATTTGGTCATTACCGAGGACAATATCGTTTAATTTTGCCACAATTGCAGTAACCGTTTGGATCAATACATAAGTGCCGACCCATATAACCCATTTTGTATAGGACAAAATGTAACGTACAGAGTGTGGCAAAATTATCTGACAGTTTTCTTTGCTGCCCTGTCGGGCGAGTGACTGGCGGAAGGTGGTGGGGATAGGGGCGCTTCAAGGCCTACGAGCGGACATTTTTAGTTGCCATGGAGCTGGTCATCACTGAAACAGAAGAGTATTTTGAAGGCTTTTCAAGTTTGTAGGGTACTATTTATTTGGACATAATTTGAACGAGGTTGGAGAAACTTTAAGATAAGTGTATAGAGCTGAATAAAAGGAGATTATAGCAAAATAAATCAAATTTATCACAACAAATTGTGTTATTCTATATTCTTCTAAGGTCTTATTGAACCACGCTTGTACTAAATACCTTATTGATGTATGAGAATTTTTTGTTTCAACTGCTTCTGTTGACAGGGGCTTTTCCATTTGTCTTAAAATTATTGTTGTTTCAGTACTTACCAAATGTAAAAACTATGACATATTCAGAAAAATTATAGTTATGGTGTCAAAAAATATAGCCTACATTTCCTAAAAAACAAAAGCAAATTTTTGGGCACCTCTCGAGTTAAAATGCTGGTTAAATACTAGTAATTCAGGAGGGTTATGCGACATAGGCTTGGGGGCAATGGACACGGCCCTGGTTTTATAAGTATTAAATTTAAGTAAATGGCAAAACTTACCATTAGTTAGTTCTCTTCAATCTTAGTCTTTACTTCGCCCCATCCACGATCTCCTCTTCCTCTGGCACCTCTCCCCTGTATTCTCCAATGTCGGAGGATATTAATTAGAACGCCCCCATTTTACTGGTAGGCTTCAGTTCTGTACAGAAATATTGCAAAAAATAGTGTTATACAAATAATTTTAGTCCAACAAATAATACAAGTGTGTACACTCCTTTCTATATTTGCGATATTCAAATAGGTACAGCTAATAGGAAAATGTTTGAGCAAATCTGGGTCAAGTTAGTACAAATATTAGAATTTGTAACAATAATTTGGTTTAGACAAAATAAATTGGTTTAACTTGTTCGCTACCACAATTATATGGAATTTACGTTCGCATAGACCACCGACGCATATTTGCGTCAGCTGATCACATTGAAATAGACTAACGACGCACACTTGCGTCGGTGTTCAATGTTATTAATCAGCGTATTTCTTAGCAACGGTCTATTTTAAAGCCCTGATTTTATCGTATCGGTCTAGAGGGATATCTGCCGCAAATGTGCGTCGCTTGGTCTGTGGATATGACGATTGGTTACGTCACACAACAGTTGGCAACATTGTTGTTTACATTGTGCATTCCGCGACATCTCAGAACAGATGTAAACGTTATAACCTTTGCAGTTTTGGCGAGTGGTGGAGTTTCTTTATTTGTTTGTGTAAAAGCTTGAAACAACCAAATTTACAACGACGCTTAAACGTGTGTCGCCTGGTCTATTGAAACGAAAATGTAGGTAATCTTTTTATCTAGATTTCATTAAATAAACTGACCGACGCATATATGCAGCGTTTTGAAAGTTGCTCCAAACGATAAATAAAAACAATATTTATTGCTTACTTATTCACTTAAGGTTAATATGAAGTCAATTCGTCCATTTAAACGATATTTCTCTTTTGGTCTGTTGGCAATGTTATTCCTATATCACTTGGTCTGTAAGCAACGTCATGATCATTCCTTTTTGTCTGTAGGAGTGACCGGACCAACGCATATGTGCGTCGCTCGGTAGCCAACGTGTTAAACATTAATTATTTGTTATTTCCCAATTTTCAAAAATGCAAGCTCTAGCCTAATTAAGACATTTCCAAACAACATGTTTCGAGATGTATCCAAATACATTTTAAGTAGGGGCCTAGTTTTAATTTTTTATAAAAAAAACTATAAATTTGCATAAAGATTATAATTAATTATCCTTATGTTCCACCAAAAACTATTAATAATAGTTTATTTGTGTAGGTAACTAGTGGGCGAAGTGGCACTTTGCTACACATAAGAGAAATGTTTACGCACGAGCCGAAGGCGAGTGTGGAAAGTTTCTCGAGTGCAGCAAAGGCAGTTTGCACTTGTGTTACACATTATATTTTCCCTAAAGTTACCATAAAACATATAAATAATTAGTTGTTCAAACTCTGTTCAACACTAAATGAAATGATTCAGTTTGGATCAGTTTCTATGGTTGTCGATAATATGGAACCCACCCAAATATGGACAGTAAGTTTAGGCCTAGGACATAAAAATGTTCTTTCCATTTATGATAACCCAACCTAACATAACCGCCGCAAAGCGCTGTATAGCCTATCTGTAGCCTCCGGATAATACTTACCAAAGTACCAATTTGAACATTGAATAACTTAGTTAACAAACATAGCCTAGAATCTATCACAAAGGTGAAAGAATGTTCACCTCACTTAAGTTATGGTTAGACCAAGTAACATTATCACAGCAGTATGGTAATTGCCTCCAGGGTCCACAACTCTGGTCTCTCTTTCTCTCTCATCTGCAGTGATGTCGATGGCAATGTCGTCCAGAAAGGTTAGTCCTCTTAACTTATTGGTTCAAGACAATAAAATAGAGACCAACTTGGGTTCAGGTCAAATTACAGCCTTTGCTCCAGGATCATCTATAAAATTAACATTGATGTCATCAGCAATGAATTATATAATCCAAGTCTAGTCTTACACCAAATACAAACAGCTCTAGAATATTTGACAGCACATCATTTTACGTCCTACACTCATTCCAATGAATATATTTCTTTAATACTTTCTTACTTATTACTTGGCGACCATACAAAGTATAGTCTGATTTTTACCGGAGTGCGGCTGGAGCTCAGCCCTACCTGTGAGGGACCCGACTCACGCACGCACACTCACCACCGTCCTAATTGCCTGAAAGCCCCGATCCCCTATTCACTAAGTAGAAATATAAGATCTGTTGTATGATACCTCAAAATTGCAATTCATTTGATTTTAGATATACAGTAAAATGGTTAGTGTTAATAAATTTGTTGTTTAATTCAATGAAAAATGAGTCCAAACACGAAATGATTATGACAAGTAGCTAGCTAATAAAAACGTGTTAAAATATTCGTAGCTTTTACACTTTGTAAGCAAAATATATATTGTTTGGTAGGTATCATTTTACTAAGCATTTTGAGTTGAAGTCAAAATCGTTACCACATTTTATAACAAACGTAAAATTAAAAAAAATTATAGTTCAATTTCCGTGAGCCAGCGATGACTCGTGCGGCAGGACAATGGTCCGTCCCACGTCCGTCCTAATCCCTTGCGTCTGTGTGTGTGAGGCCTGCGTGTGTGAGAGTATGGTCGACCCTTCAGCCAGCCGCTTTCCGTCAACAATCACACTATAGGTACCGTATTTTAAGCCAAGTATGAATGGAAATGAGTGTAGGATCAGGATGAGTGGCGCGATCTTGTAGTCTTGTTAGTGACTAAGGCCGACATTCCTTAGACACAGCTGTTAATTAATAGCCCATACAGCTAATGGCAACTAAGGGACCTACGGTTTATAGTGGAATCCGAACCACATTATTGCCTTGGTATATACGAATTGGTCTAATTATCAGGATAGTACTGCGGATAGTCGTAGTACTCACTCGTGCGGACGTTAATCCACACCAGGGAGTATCGCATCCACAGTGCATGCCTATAAATATCCACAATTCGTGACCTCCTAGTAGTTGGATTACAGGACGACGCCACCCGTCCCAGTCATATTGATTATTTCATTCAATAAACTTAGGCCTATATCAATTTTGGGTAATGTTAGGGTAAAACTTAACCTAACTAACGGAATGAAATATTCAAAATATTAAATAGTCTTGTATTAATATCTTTCATTTGAATGAATGTAGGACATAAACTAAAGTGCAGCCAAATATTTTTACATAAACAAATTTTTAAAATTGACACTGGGTCAGTGGGAAAAAGAGACAATCCTAATAGCCTAGGGATAGTGCCTATTCAAACATTTGCTACAATATTGCTTGATGATCCAGAATTAGCCTACGAATAAGCTGTATCTTAGGTTCTTGTTGGTGACTTACCTAAGTTAGTGTCAGGTAGGACTACTTAATGTTATTAAGTTATCACGTTGATTACGTTTTTTACCAAATAAAAATTAACTTATTTCACATTATTCCTTAAAAACTATTGTTTGTAACACTCGAGTCATCTATTTTCTTGTAAACAAGGAAAGAAATAAAAAAGATAAATATTTACAATATAAAAGTTTTTAGTCAATAAATGGCCAGCTTGAAGATGTCCGTCGGAATTCGGAATCAAATATTCATTGCGACTCGTGAGTTGAGGAACTGAACGATGAATTAGAACAACTCCTTTTCAAGAGTAGCTCCGAAGAGCGGGTGCTTGTCGATATACTGGGACTATTTCAGTGTCGACAAAATGAAACTATTTCATTGTCGACAATATGGGATGTCGACAATTTGTGGTGTCGATCATTTGCGACGTCGGTTATTTGGGATGTCGGTTAAGTGGGAATATTCCAGTGTCGACAAACTGGGAATAATTCAGTTTCGATCAATTTCTACGGTTGTCGATATTATGGAACCCACCCATTAAAATGTATTAAATGCATCAATGACTCTGTTTAGAACCAGACGCTATCCTTGGGCAAAAGCTCCTGCACCTGTATAGTCAAGGACAAGGGAATATTATATTTCCTTACCCAGTAACCAACAATTGGAGATGAAAAATAAGTTCTTATGGGAGAAAATAAATAACAATCGTGGTCGTATGATAGCATTTCTACACAACTAATAACAACATATATAATCAAAGCTACTGCTCTGCAATATACTACTTTGCTCCTATCCTCCTTCTTAAGTTCAGTCGTTCGTGTTCGATTCGTTTCGGTCGATAAAAAAATAAACCAAACCTCAACTCAACTAACCCAACCTCACCTCTCCTTCCTAGTTTTTCGTACGTCAATACAAATCTAGGCCTAAACGTTATTATTTTCGGTTACTGTTATGGTTGTTGTGGACAAAAAGATGTAAGTAATCGTCATGCTCATTAATAAACCCCATTAAAATACATGTTTTCTTACGTTCAAATATTTAAGTTACCACTGCATTAAGTCAAGAAGTTTTGTGTTGATTGAATACAAGTCTAATCATAGCGCCATTTTGCTCGCCGCACAATTTTGATGAAAATGCCGGCGATTTCTTTGAATAATTAATCATAATACTTTATTATAATGTTTCCTTGAACGTAATGCGTAGTTTTATTAAACTACTGGGCTGAGACTATTAAGTTAATTGCGCTCAAAGTAAAATTTTGTAATTTGGCTATTCTGAAACTAGGCTAGGCTAGCCTTGGTCAGGTGAATCCTAGCCTATGGCTTAAATTTTACATGGTGACAAAACAATTATACCCGTCTACTCTTTGGGTATTGAGCCTAACTTAGTTCCGCAGAGAACGAATGATAAGTTATTTTATCGTAGCCTATGAATAATGATAACTTAAATATCGGTTTAATAGGCCTAACTTAATATAGGTAATAATACTTAATAATAAGTTATCTTAATCTTAATAAGTATATTAGGCTATCCTTTGAACCGATATTTATCACATTAGCCTATTATTTAAGCTATCTTATCATCACAACGTATTTAACTTAGACTAAGTTTACCATAGGTATGAAAAATACTAACACACATTAATGAAGCTTTTTCTTTTTTAGCCTATCTTTTAATTTTATTAAATTGTTTCGTTACTTACTTCCATTAGGCCTAAATAACAATGTTTACAAATCGTAAAAACTTCTTGATCAGCAAACGTGTTATTACTTAAATTAAATTACCTGAAATCACATAAAATATGTCAAATAACACTTGTAATAATTACTCTTAAATATACGGTACTGTTAAATCACAAGACGGTATAAATACTTTAGGCCTAGGCCCTACATATATAAAAGATTGCAAGTGGAGATCGATCACCATAGGTACTATCCAAACACACCACAGGACACTGTTTTTTGGACACTGTCCAATCAAAATCTATCACCACTTGCCATCATTAATAGCCTGTATTTACCATCTTGTGATTAAACAGTTAAGTGTAAATATATAAGTTAGTTTCCATACATTATTATAAGTTATAAGTGTTATTTGACATATTTTATGTGCTTTCAGGTAAAAACGTAAGCAAATCATAAATCAATTCAATGTTTACATTTGGGAAAAAAGTAAACAATAACTTATTTTGTAATCGATAACTAGGCTAGGCAATTAATTCGTAATATTTAAATAGGCTAACAATATTTATTGTTTTAAGTTAAAACTTATTCATTTGATTAAATATTGGTTCTCTGTTCAACCAACTTACTTTGCACTATCCTTAAAATGAAAATGAAAGGAAAATCCTTCTTTATTGAGGCGAACTTAGGACCTCACGGTCCTTTCTTACAGGTAACATCTAAAAAACTAACAATAAAATTAAAACATTTACAAAATAAAACAACAAAGTTTAACTTACAATAAACAAACAGGTGTAACGACATTAGGCCTATCATATTATTTCCTTAACATACACTCACACATAAACCCTCTGCTGCACCCAGGCCTAATGCACGCCATCCTGCCAGGCCATGGCCATCCGGTTAAGGTAATAGGCTATTCTTTTTTAGCGCCACCGTCAGTCGGGATCGGTTTTCTTAGGATTTCATGGGATTTAAGGTGCAGAGTTCAAAGGCAGCATACAGTTAGGTACCGGTACTACAAAAGATTTGTTGTAAACATTCGTCCTCCTTCTGAGCTGAGTAGTGATCCTTCTGAGCTTTTAGTTAACCCTTCGTCAGTTACACCATCGTTTTTCTCCTGCCTGGGGCAATTGTTTTTATAGAAAAATATGTGATGTCACCAGCTGGTAACTTTAGGAGTACCGGTAGCCTAAGTTAACAGTACCTCACGTGCATCTTTCTAGGAACGGATTTAACATTAGGCTATTTTGATGTCACACCTCCCCCTCACAGCACAGAGCCAACTGCTTGAGTCACCGAAGGTCTTGTTGGTTTTGTTTGATATATATTTTTATAAATATATAAAATTAGAGTTTTTATTGATTTCATGCACAATTTTATTGATTATACATGGTTTTAATACCTTTTTGTATTAACCCTCCGAGTGTCCCTTGTTTTGGCCTTAATGTTCTCAATGTTAACATGTTCTCTCTTAATGTTCTTAATGTTAATGTTCTTTATATCTGGAAAGAGGTTGGCAGCCGTGATCTGCCCAGAATGGAAGGGCTGTACGTCTTGTGAGTTTTTAAAAGTATGTTTTAGTGGTAAAATGTTTTTTGGACTATTTTACTTTGTGTTATTATTGATCTTGGACTGTTTTGCAACTATTATTTTACTGTGTAATGACATCGTAGTGTGTAATTGTAAATAACCAGACAACTGATAACTCAAGTTTCGGGTTTGATAAGACTGTGCGACAGCGTGTTTGGTACGTCTGCGCACTCGCCGCCGCGCATCGGGACCAGTGTTGCCGGCCGCAGAGACTTTCTCCCGCATCGCTTCTCCCCGTCGCGTTGCGCTGCTAGCCGGCCTACGACCACTCGTAATTTTGGCGACTCCTGCATTTTACTCGACGCAAAACAACTACAGTACTGTGTTGCATCCAGGATACGAGTTTGCAGGCACTGTGACATCTCTTCAATCATCAACTTGGTATTTTTATTCGTTGTGATTTAGCCGTGTCAGTATACTCTCATCAGGTTTTATTATTTTAATATATAAAATGGATAACTTAGAACATTTTATGTCTGATTGTACACATTTTTCTGATGATACTGAACTAATAATTTCCAATTTTTGTCTTCAACTACAAAAGTTCGTTGCAAACTGTAATCAAAGTTGCCATGAAGACTTAGTTAATGCTTCAGCTAAGGTTGTTTTTGAATTTAATTCTATATGTGGCCACTTATCTGAAACAAATGATAAGTTATTAAGTACAGAGACTAAAATGAAGGAACTTGATTGCCAATTGGAAGTGTTTACGCGGAACCACCGTCGGGAGATTAACGAGTCACTTGTTGCAAATGATTGTCTTGTTAATGAAAGACTTTCTTTAGAAAATAAAATTCGTAATTTGAGTGATAGTTTGGTTAAGGCTTCCAATGTCAATTTAACATTAAGACAATTGCAAAGTGAGCATGATAGGCTTGTTGAGGATTGTGACAGGTTGCAGTGTACAAACCAACGGTACATTGTTGAAAATAGTAGATTGAAGAAACTATTAGACAAAAATGTGTCACAATGCACGACTTTAGAATCAAAACTCTCTGATGTGTCATTGGCGCTCAACAATTTGGAGGCTACGATAGATGACAAGTCCAAATGGGTATCAGACGAGTTACTGACTACATATTTCACTTTGTTTAATACGGAAGTGTCTAACCACCGAACTGATATTACTTTTGTGGGAGCATCACTGACTCAAATTTTGAAGCTTGGTGAAAAATCTCAAGTACAAACCCTCCTATCTGAGCTACAATTTGGTACCAAACGTTATTTCTTCTTTTGTATCAACAATTCCTTAAGTGAGCAAGGGGGTACTCATTGGAGTTTATTGTTGCTGGACACTTGTAAACAGTCTGCAGTGCATTACGACTCTTCGGGAGGTGTCAACAGACGGCATGCTCAGATACTTCTTGACAACTTTGGACTGAGTGGCGGCATCCAACTAACCGAGGGGTGTGTGGCGCAGCAGACTGCGGGTTTCGAGTGTGGTCTACATGTGATCGTCAACGCGCGGCTGCTGCTGGCTCAACTCTGCGCAGAGATCATCACACCTACGTTCCCACGGCAAGATGAGGACGCCTTGCCAACCATCAGCAAGGAGGTGACACCTGCGACCGTCAGTGACGTCACGGTGGTGGACACAAGTGTGGAACTGACTGCGACACAACTTGCCGACCAAACATGTGTAAATAAGGTAGACTTAGCTAGTAGTAATAAGGGTAACAATGAGGGAAAGTGGAAATTATGTAAACATAAAGGAAAACCGAACAAAGCAAAAAGTAATACATCAAATCAAATCTCTTGCAAAAATAAATTCTCTGTCTTAAGTCATATTAATGAGGTGTCTGATGGTGTTGTTTTTAGAAATCCTTCAGGTCATTGGTTAAAAAAGCCTAAAAATTCTATAAAAAAGCAATCTCAAATTCAAAGAAAATCTAAAAAAAATATGTCAAAAAAACCTAACAACACTCAATGCAAATCTGTTCCAATTAAT